CGGTTCAGCGGTTATCCTTTCTCTGCCCTTGCTATGCCTGATGCCTTCACCTGAAGAGTTTTACCTGAGGCTCAGGTTTGGCCTCCATTGATCTCCACAGGGAGAGAAAAGCAACTGAGGTTGTCTCTCTGATGTAACAAGGAGCCACTTGTTTGCCCCAACAGCAGAGGACTTGAACGGCCTCTGAGAATTCCGATAGTTTGTAGCGGTCTGGCCAAGAAGCCATATGTCATTTCAGCTTTTGAGAAAGGTACATCGTAACTAGCAAGGGAGACCCAACACCAGGTAGCCCTTTTCAAAGTATTCCAGAAGCAGTAGCTACCTAACTCTTCCGAAGCACGTGCAGTGGGACCGAAACACACAAGGTGTTGAGCGTAGTGTAGTTATTCATCTAATTGATCTGAGCTGATATCAACATGCTCTACTGAGACCGAAATGACAATCAAGACAAGGATATGCATTTGGACTAGAGGCCACAGTCTACTGCTTTTCACTAATAGCACTATTGGCCTTTCAGGCAGGATAATTACTTGGATTAGGACTTCACCCATTCACTGTAGGACATTTAGCATCCCCCTCTCTGCCCTCTATAGGCTGCTCCTCCTGTGCCACTTGAATCAGTGTGATGACTTGTACCCTAGGGGTGCCAACCATATGCTCTGTCCCTTGAGAACCAGTGCTATGCTGGAGATCACTATAGTCCAATATTATTCTACCCTTACTGTTAAAACATGACTTGTGACTATTAATTATGTAACTGGATGCCCAGCAAGAGTGTACATTTGCTAGCTACTTTTCTGAGTAACTATGTTCTTGCCACTGGGTGTGATAAAAAGTGATGTGTGTTCTTCGAGTTCTTCTTAAAAATTAAAGGATATGGGCCCTTCCTTCCTGCTAGTTGGAGGATGACAAGAGTAGTCCACTTGGACCAGAGATGGAAACCTCGTGTTGAATATCACTGAGCCACCTCAGGCCTCTGGGCCACCAATCTCTGGATTATTTGGAGATTAAAAAAAAAATTGGGGTGTGTGTAAGCTATTGCATGTTAAGGTCTCTTTGTTCCAGAAGTTTAGTTTGTATTCTAATTAATCACACTCTTTACTCTGATTTCCCCAGAAAAAGAGGGGCTTTAGGGCATGGGGTAGAGGGAAGCCCTGACATGATGGTGCGAACCCTCACCCTTGAAAAGACAGCATGAGAGACTCACTCTTACACTGGGCTTTCCTCAGGGAGAGAGGCTCATATCTGTCTTCTGTACAGTTCTCATAGGTGTATGGCTTCTGATATTTTTTAGTGGAAGAAAATAGAAATTCTATACCTTTTCTGTTTGTCTAAAGAGGACAACTGGTTTTAAGCAGCTGACCAAGAAGGACAGCATGAATGTAAATCCACATCACAGGTAACCATCAAGAAGGTGTCTGTTAGCACTGGGGGCTAATGACAATTTCTGGAGGCATCTGTTCCTGATGGGGTCAGCACTTGCTCTCTAATCATTGGCATGGAGTTAGACTGCTCTTCCTGAAAAGAACAGACCCCAACCCAACCCCAACTCCTGGTAGATCCATCCTCACTCATAAGACAAATGGGCGGAGGCACTATGGTGTCACCTGAAGCTGTGGCCAGCTGCCCTAAGAGGCCAGAAAGTAATCAACATGCATTTGCTCCCAAGGGACACCTGTGACATGAACAAAAATCACACTCATAGAAGTGTTCTCATGTGGGAGACAAGGAGAGAATCCAGGCTGAATGCAGCAGAAGGGCCCAGTGTAGGATCAGTGGTACGAGAGGGGTAGGCAAGCCCTGTCCTATCACCGCGGAGCTTTACTCTTGAAGGAGAAGGGCTCTCAAGAGTCAATAGGAGGTGTTAGATCCTCGCATCTGCCCTACTTAGCATGGCTGCAAACAGATAAGGCGGATAAGCTGGTGCAGTGGGGGAAACAGATCTGGAACTCAAGTTTGTCAGAACAGGGCAGGTAGAAGAATTGTCTAGGTAAATACAGCATCCTTCCATTTTTGGAGGGTATGAGAGAACTTCAAAAGCTTATGGAAAAATAGAATTAAAGTATGAGTTCATCTTGGTGCCAAATTTTTTTGAAATACAGTTTTTCCGTGACACACATTTTCCATGAGCTTTTTAAAGATCCCCTCATGCTATCCCAGAAGGAGGGAGTAGGATAACCTGCCTGTCTCTCCCTAAGCAGGGCTGCCTTGGTCTGGGCAACCAGCTTTGAAGTCCAATGAAGGCTGAGAGTTGTAAAAACAGACAAGGTGAACTTGGAGCAGCCCACACAGGATCCTTAATGCACCCTGAGTCGGACAAGAGCGGGGGCTATGACCTCCAGCAGGTGGGCACCTGGCTGTGCCTGGCATGGATGCCGAGCTCTTTCAAGCACCGAACAGTGTGGGTGCAGTTGCTGAACACAACAGCCAAGAATCTGCCCTTTCATCTTCGGAGAGCTACCATCAGCAATCTGACAGAATTCTGGCAGAAGCAATTAGCTCATGAATTAGTTATCAAATGTCTCCCGCAGCCAAGGTCTTGGGCTGCTGATCTGCATATTTCCCCTAGGTACTTCGGACAGAGGGCAGGCCACCTGCTTCCACGTGCAGTATGGGTATTAGCCAGTCTGACCACCCCTCTCCACACTGTACCATACAGCACCCCCTCCTCCACCATCGCCTTGGACCCAGATGTGGCTCCCTCACCTCCTCCGCCTGATTCTCCACCTTTTGAAGCTCATTCACCCTGTCCCTTCTTCACTCTGCTGCAGCCTCACTGGTCTCGCTGCTGTGCCTTGAACATGATTTGCCTGGCTGATCCTGCCTCAGGAGGTTGACACTTGCTGATCCTTCTGTCTGGAAAGCTCTTTCCTCATATATCACCGCAGCGGGCTCCCTCACTTCCTTCAGATCTCTACTCAAATGTCATCTTATTATTAGAATGCCCTTATTTCTCCCCCTAACACTCATTACCATCTGACAAACGAGGCATTTGTTTGCTTGTCTGTGTATTGTCTGACTCCTGCATTAGCAAGTCTCCTAAGGGCAAGTACAACCGGCTTTGCTCTTTTCTTGGTTGAATGAGTGAAGAATCTATGCTAAATCCAAAGAAAACCAATAGGGATCTAAATCTCCAGCAAGCTATCACTGCTTCTATGTTCTGAGAAATAAAGACAATTCTACCTTTAGATTGTTAGCTAATATCTCATATCCCTAATATGCATCTTGCTGCCAAGTTTTATAGCTTCTCCCCTCCCTCTAAATTCCTTGCTTCCCTCTTCCCCTCCTTCCTTCCTTCCTTCTATGTATGTTTTTTTGAGTGCTACTAGGTAGGTGCCAGGCATTCTTTCTCACATCATTCTCATCTTACTGTTCCTCACTGTCCTGTCAGGTGGAGCCTCCCTACCCTCTACATGGCCAGATGTCAACTCTGCCTAACCTCTGCCACTGTTCCCTTTTATTTTCTTCAATTCACCCTGTTGGACACTACCTGATGAATTTCACTTCTTCTCCCTGCTCAAAATTCTGCAGTGACTCCCTATTGCCTATTGAATTAAATAGAGATTACTCATTCCTGTTTTGAAAACCATCCATGACATCTCTATCTACCCATGAGCCCTCTCTCCTACTATTTTTAGAATATCTAGCTTCAGCTAAATGTGCCTCCCATGCTGTTCCCATCTCTGGAAAGAACACAAATTCTGTCTGCTCAAAGTGTCTCTCAAGGACATTCTCAAATGCCACCTCTATGCATTTTCCCACCTGAGGTAGCCTTCCCTGCTTCTGAACTCCTAGGATACCATGTTTGTACCTTTTTAAAAACACCTGCAATATTCTTTCTGAGTTACGGTTATCTGCAGAGTTTTCTTCTCTTACCCACTAGAAAACTCTAGAGAGTAAGAATTGTGTTTCATTTATTTTCATTTCTTAACAGCTAACCAGAATCTTTCCCAATATACACACTGGCTCACTATTTGTTAAACAGAATTAAACAAAAAAAATTTTTTTTTCCTTTTTCATTCTTTGCCAGAGGGGACATCTACTCACCAGAGGGAGAGAGAAAGTACTCCTGAAGAGACATGGACACACCGCCATCTCCTTTCCTCCATTTCTCCTTCCTGCTGGAATTTTGGGCAAGCACACATACACACCCAATGTTTTTCAAGCCACTGGGGCTGGGATTTAACCTGCAGTTGACCATGTGGGATCCAGCTCTCAAAGCATAGCACGTAACTACTCTGCTGTGTAGTGGGACCTTGTCAAATGGAATTTTTTTTTTTTTGAGAGGTTTATGCTATAGGGCGCGTACGCTCGCCAGAAAGAGAGAGACAGAGAGGCAGAAATCGAGAAATCACTCCCCAGGGGAGATGTCCACGCCACAATCCCTTCTCCTCCATTCTCCTTTTGGGATCTTGGGCACGCACGCACACACGCCCAGTGTGAGTTTTAAGTCACTGGGTCCAGGACTTGAACCACGGTCGACTACATGGGAGTTCAGTGACATAGTCATTATGCTAACTGCTGATCCCAGTCAAATGGAATTTTTTGTCACAATGAATCACACTGTTCTATGAGCTCAAGGGAGTTAAGAAGGACGAGGTACAGTATTTACCCTAAAGGAACTGATAGTCTAGTTAGGAAGGTAAAATTGCTACCTCAAATAGTAATTTTTAATTTACTTTCGGCAAGTAATTATTGAACATCTACTGTGCTAAGTATAATGAAAGGCAGTATATAATGGTCAAAAACTAGTGATACAGACAATAATGACCAAGTAAACCAGACTCTAGGGTACGTGGACACATATTATGACTGCCTTCCACACGTACTAACGCCCAACTCTTGGTGCAAGGGAGTAAGAGATGAGAGACTTACCGGGTGAGGCTGCATGTTCTAGGCGGCCCAGCTGGGGCTGCCTGGTGATCCTGTAGGTCAGTTCTGCAGGCTCACTATCCTGGTCAGTGGCAGAGAGCTGCTGAGTGGTGATCTTCCTCACTGAGTTTTCATCCAAGACCAGCCCTTTATTGGTAATGATGACTGGTGGGGCTTTGTCTTCTGGTAATAGAAGAAACAGTGATTTGGAATGGAATTTTTTTTTAAAGATTATTATTATGATTGTTATTATTTTTTGCCATAGGGTACATGTGCTTTCCAGAAAGAGGCAGAGACAGAGAGAAGAAAAGTGAGTAAACACCCTCCAGAGGGAAGGCCATGGCACAACCCCTTCTCCTCCATTCTCCTCTCATGATTTTGGGCATGCACGTATTTATGCCCAGCATGATTCTTAAGCTATCAGGTCCAGGACTTGAACCATGGTTAAACATATGGAAGTCCAGTGCCCTAGTCACTAAATCACCTGCTGGTTTTGTGGAACAGGATCTTTTCAGTCTCTTTCCTTCAATTCTAGGCCTGGTCCCTGAAGTAAGCTCAGAATAATCCTTAGGCCTATGTCTGAGAGAGAACACCAAGATGCCAGTATTTATGTGACAGAGAGAGTATGATTTCCAATCTTCACACCAGCTAGGAGAAGAGGCTCCATACAAACCACAAATTCTCACGGCTGCTGAATATTTTTATTTTAGAAAACCCAGTGCCCCCTTACCTAAAACATGGATAGAAAATGACTGGTCACTCAATTTGTTGCCTTCTCCATCCACCACATCAAACTTAAATGCAAAGCTCCCGCTAGGTTCTCCTGTTGCATGTCTATATTCAACATGCCCTATGAAAAGGGGAAAAATTGTCATTAATGCTTTCTACCCTTATTTCTGAAAGAGAATTCCACTGGTATTCATACCAACGAATCAGTTAACACCTTCCTCATTTTGACACTGCTTTTGACATTTTAATCTAAAGTTTTCATTTTCTCCCGTTCCTCTCCCACCATTGACATTCTCACAACCAAAGACTTCCTCATAACAAAATCACCCCAAGTAACATTACTTATGGTTGAGGCTCAGCTATTTTGAAAGATCCGGTTCAGTCTCTTAGAAGGTCTTATAATTACGAGATCAGCAAAATTGCTTATGTGTAAAATGTTCATTGACTGCACCCACATTCCGTGGAGTGACTCTTTTTTTTTTTTTTTCTTTCCCTCTAAATAGAGGTTTTTGCCATAGGGTACATGTACTCACTGGAGAGAGAGTCACACACACAGAGACAGTGAGAGGGAGAGAGAAATCAGCCCCCAGGGAAGATGGCCACACTGCAATCCTTCTCCGTTCTCCTCCCAGGATCTTAGGCATGTACTCACATGCACCCAGTGTGATTTTCAAGCCACTAGGTCTGGGACTCGAACTGTGGTCAGCCACGTGAGAGCCCAGTGATGCTACACCATCTGTTGGCCCCTGTAATTGCCCCATTACATATCCATGTTACAAGGGACGAGAATGAGAGCCTCAGTCCACAATCTCCCAGAACTCTTCACTCCCCATCGCCTAGCTCATGGGACAATATGGGTTATCACCAACCAAAAAAACAAATAGATAAACAACAAAATAAACACATAGAAGCCAAAAGACTCCAAAGGGAGACGTGTAACATCTTATATTTTTGTTAATCTACAGCAGCATTTACAAATATCTATCAAGTAAATATAACCAAACTTCTGTTAAGAAGTTCTTGGTCTTATTTTTTAAATTTATTTTATTTTTTTATTTTTTGCCACAGGGTATGTGTGCTTGCCAGACAGAGACAGAGAGAGACAGTAAAAAGGACAGTGAGAAATCACCCCACCACCACCACCATCCCAGCAGGGATGACCATGCTGCAATCCCTTGTCCTCCATTTTTTTCCTCGGATTTTAGACACACATGCACATGCTCTTGGCAAGAGTTTCAACTTGCCAGGTCTGGGGCTTGAACTATTGTTGGCAATATGGGAGTCCAGCACTTTAACCAATATGCTTGCTGGCACTGGTCTTATTTTTTTAAAAAGAGACACCAGGAACATTGAAGGACTAAGTGAACATTCTTTCACCTCTTCTACCCTCTTCACCACAGCACAGACAGGCCCAATGGCAACTCAGCTGCTGTCAATTTTAGGGGCTATTGCACAGGCAGGACCCTAGTTTCTGTTCTTCGGGGGCATATTTCCACTTCTAACTGTAACTGCACCTCATCACATGATTCCAATTACTTTCTCCCCCCAGTATGTAACTTTATTTCCCTTTCTCTACCCCTGAAAGCACTGTACAGTAACTACGTAGCATTTAACATTTATGCCTTTACATTACATCAGCATTTCCTGGAGGAGGGATGAGCCATGTAATTTCCCCCAGGCAGCTCCGATTTATGCCCTTCCATTTTGCTTAGTTCATTAAGTTGTGCTCTTTGGGGAGCTGAAAAGAGATATAAATTGCTCACCTAAGGAAGGCATAATTTTCACCTTAATCCATCCCAACTCACTTCTTTTTCCATTCTCTCTCCCACCCACACTTTCTAGCATCACAACAAGCCAAAATGACTTTTTCCCCACTATAATAGCCTCAAATTTCATAAACGTTTTGTCAAAGCACAGACACATTTTAGCCAAGAAAGGTAGTTTTTTCCTTTTTTTAAAAAACCAAAAAAATGAGGAGACAAGAAAGAAAATACATGAAGCGATAATTCAGCTCTTGCACAAGACAAAGAGTGCAGGGTTTACTGCCACAGGCTACCAGGCATTTAACTCCGATTTTACTACCAAGGGCAACGGGCAGAGTCCGTGGAAGTCTTGGTGGGCAGAGGAGGACTGGCTGACCTTGGTTAATGTCCGCCTGCGTGAAACTTCGAAGGGGGCCTTTAATGGAGATTTGCTCCAGGTCGTCATGCTTGGCCATCTGCAGACGCCCTGCTCCAGGATCTTCCTTCATGATGTACACGACCTGATGCTCAGCTGAGTCCGTATCTGTCACTTTCAAGTGCTGTTCTGTGATGCGTGCTATTGATCCTGGGAGAGAATGAAAGAGAGTAGGTCATTCTGCCACGTTTCCTTTGGATGAGATAAGAAATTATTTTAGGAGATTAGAGGCTCAATGATCCTACATTCCTTGGGTATGGGACCAGGTACCTGCCTTCTCAGTGTCCAGATAAATACATTTTAATTTTCCTAAGTGAAATAATCCCAACTTTCCCATCTGTTAATCACCCCTTGAATTTAGAGTTGAGCTCTTTTGTCTTCTGAACCCTTTCATCCTTTCCTTAAGTTTGTTCTACTTCCATGACCCATGGTTACTATCTAGCGCTATGTAATAACTCTTGGTTCTGGGATGTAACTACCTCATAGATCTATGATGGAATCTGTTCAGACATTATTTAATGTCTGGAAGGTAACCAAGGTAAAAATAACAGCTTTACATAAATTCACACACAGATTGTCGGGAAAGTCATGACATATTTTTCTTTGCAAAAATCCATCATGACTTTCCAGACAACCCAGTATCTTGTTGACATTTCAGACCAAATAGTCAAAATCAGTGCTCCTCAAGGCATAGAATATGCTGAGTTATCAAGAGCAGGAGGATCTGGAGGCTGGCAAATGGCATGGTGGTTATGGGCGCTGGAATCCTACATAGCCAACCATGGTTCGAGTCCTAGACCTGGTGGCGTGCTTTCTCACTTTCTCTCTCTCTCTCTAGTCAAATTACAATAAATACATAAATAAATAAAGTTAAATAAAAAATAATTCTTAAAAAAAAAGAGAGCAGGAGGATCTGAGCCAGTGGGCCCCGAGATGCTGCAGGAGGGTTGGCAACGGAGGAAAGGCATGGGCTGCCAGCAAACATCTCTTCTAAGGGCCTTGCCACTTGTTTCTTACCCAGCCATTTTCTCATAGTAAATTCTAGTAGATCTAGTCATTTTGGTGTAAAACATTTTGATGTGTGGACAGTCCACCAGAGGCCCTGAGCGTCTTCCATGTTCTTGCTGGGAAATGCTAATTATACAAGGCCTCGGCCAGTCTTCACCTAGCCCATCTCTCAGTGAGCAACCATCAGGGATGAGATACGTCTTCCCCTGGGACAAAGATCAGACTCGCTTACTTCTTGCTATGCCAGGGAGAGTGCCTAATCTGTGTTCTACTTCTGTTATGCTTCCCACTGCATGTGAGGGTCTATCTGGGTGGGCTTCCTACCTCACCCCTGTGGGACTTGGAGGGCAGAGGGAACTGAGACAAACTTGCTATTGCCCATGATGCCTGCTGTGCTGTAACAAAAAGCCCTGTCTCTCATGGCACACTCACGCCTTCCACTGCTAGCATCCATGAAACAGCAACAGGCTAGCTTGTTCACTTGTAAACAGGCTAACGTCAAACCCTAGACCTGATAGCTGGGGCTTTGAGACTCTCCAAATTTGCAAATACCATTATTTCAAATTTCAAATATCATATATTTTTTCACTACAGAATTCAACTGAGAGTAAAAACAGACAACAACAGATGTAGAATCTCTGTGGGCAAAAGGCTTATTCCCTAGTTAAGTAATTCCCTACTGCCAACTGAGCCTAAGACTAACACTTGCCACAGGTTCTTCAGTGTTGCTTGAACATAGAACATAGTTGTGAAAGTTAGACCCTAAAATACCACACCTGCTCCTTCTCAATTATTTGCATAATTTCTTACTGCACAATAACTGTTCAACTGTCTTCTCATGACTCTTAGTTTTTAATAAACATACTAAAAGTATTACTAGAGTTCTTTTGTTGTTTCTGCAGGGTTGGTTGAGCTGGAGCAATGTTAAAGGAAAACTAGGACAAAGAATAGTTGGATAGGGATCAGCAGTTAGCGTAATGGCTATGTCGCTGGACTCCCACGTAGTTGACCGTGGTTCGCATCCCAGACCCAGTGGCTTAAAACTCACGCCGGGTGCGTGTGCGTGCGTGCCCAAGATCCCGAGAGGAGAATGGAGGAGAAGGGATTGTGGCATGGCCATCCCCTCTGGGGGGTGATTTCTCGCTTTCTATCTCTGTCTGTCTGGCAAGCACACGCGCCCTATAGCAAAAACCTCTTAAAAAAGAAAAAAAAAGAATAGTTGGATAGATTACGTTTTTCTTTTTCTTTCTTTCTTTCTTTCTTTCTTTCTTTCTTTCTTTCTTTCTTTCTTTCTTTCTTTTTTAATTAGGTTTTTGCCATAGGTCATGTGTGCTTGCCAGAGAAGAGAAAGACAGAGATACAGAGAACATGAGAAATCACTCCCCAGGGAGGATGGCCATATTGCAATCATTTCTCCTCCATTTTTCTCTCAGGATCTTGGACATGCACACATATGTGCCTGGCATGATTTTCAAGCTACTGGGTCTAGGACTCGAACTGTGGTCAGCCATGTGGGAATCTAGCCACCTTAACCACGGCATCTGCTGGACCCTAAAATTAAAATTTTTGAGGACTCAGGAAATACTATGAACTCTTCTTAACCTTTTTTTTTTTTTTCAGATTCACAGACAGTGGCATCTAATACAAAGGATTTCAGAAGCTCATGTATTCATCATAATTCTTAGTGTTCCTGAACAAATAGTTCAAACTCTAACCACAGAACGCACATGGAAGAAAGTCCTGTACACTGGCAAAAGAAGAAATAAGGTTAAAAGAACCACAGCCACTCTCTTCTCTTCCATGGTACCTGCTGACAGCTGTAGGCCTCGGCTTACAGCCAAATGGGGGCTGCCGCTGGTCAGTAGTTCCATGTAGATCTCCATCCTCCCTGAATCCACATGGAGGCCATCAGTGAGGGAAAACCGGAACTCATCCACTGCCATACTAGAGTCACCAGGCACATACCCGACCAGCCCGGCAAGTATATCCTGGTAGCTGAAGGAGGAGCCATGAACCAAAGCTGTCCCATTCTTCAGAGGCTCAAAGGCAGTAAGCCTCCGGAGCAGATGACCTGAGGAAAGGAGGAAAGGAAAACAAAGACACGATGATAGCCAGTACCAGACACCCCCAAATGCCTGATTTTTCCCACTAGGTTAAGCTTGGTAGACTGCTAAGTATTTCTGAGGCTCTTGGTGTAATAGTTTAGCATTTTTATATACAACAGGGGTCTTCAAAAAGTTCATGAGAATGCATGTTATTAAAAAAAATCAACTATGGATGGATTTCAAAATTTTTTGCACTGAAGCAAACACATTTTCCACAAACTTTTTGAAGTACTTTCATATAAGCCTCATCTACAAATAAAGAAAATAATGTAGCACTTTTCCTGGTTAAAGTCTCTTAAGAAGACACAGATGGATTTGGTAATATAGTAGTTTGGAAATCGCATATCCCTCTATGAATTCAAACTCACTTTATTATCTAAACCTTATTTTTCTCTTCTGCAAGGTGAAACTAGCACTCTTCATTCACTGCCTTTCTCTTAGGGTGTCTAGAGTGGGAAATGTGAATATAGTTTAGATTTCTTTTCAATTCAGGAAGAAACTAAGTGTCTTAAGAGTGAGGTATATTTTTCTATTTTCAAGGGTCACATAGTACAATGGGACAGTTAAAGTGCTTAGAGTGTTCCATTAAAGAAAGGGGAAGTGAATGAAAGCAAGAGAAAATGCAATGACCAACAGCTTCTTGTATTAACCCTCCATCAACGGCAATAGTCGTTGAAAGACCAGGCCTTGTCCCAGCAGCACGTCCTTGTGATGCTGCTACTCAGTAGGCTAAAGCCATATGAGAGACACAGGTTCTATTCCTGGTCTATCCTAAAGGCTGGGCATGGTGTCGTGTTGCCAAGAGTCCAAGCCATGCAGGAAGATCCCAACAATGCAAGTGAGACCATGTCTTAAAAAACAAAACGAAGCAAATAAACAGGAGCCAGATGATGGCACAGTGGTAATACAACAGTCTGCTATCCTGTCCCACATGGAAGGTTCTGGGTTCACATCAGAAACCTCTGTGAGTACACTGGGTGTGCACATGCCCATGATCTGCGATTGGCTGAAACTGGGGGTGAACCGTGGAGTGAAAGATGCTGCTGGGGGTACCTGTCTCTGTCTCTCTTCTGCTTTCTCTCTTATGGCAAAAAGAAAGAAATAAACTTAAAAATAAAAATATTAATAATAATAATTAATAATGAAAGACCAATAGGCATTATGATGGGTTGAGACACCCCACTTTGGTTCCTAGGCATTGGCTAATGCTAGGGGGCTGGCATTTAGAGAAGTAGGTAGAAGATACACACAGTGGTTTTTGCATCTGGTTTAAATCAAGAAAAGTGCTTTCTTTGCAAAAGGAACAAGCTCATAAAGACATTTGGCATGCCTCTGAAAGGCTGAATGAGCTGGCCCAGGATTATCGAACAATGATGTCTTCTCTGAGGAGAGGATCTGTACACTGTGAAACCTGTTTTGCTTGAGGATACACAGCAAGGCAAGAAAACAGCTGAAATTAAATTTCAGAGAATGCCAATTAGCTAGAATTCAGGCTTTTTAAGCAACCACTGTCTCTACCATGACCCCAAAGAATATCAGCTGCTGTGAATTTGATTATATTTCGGTGCAAAAAATGGACCATATATATAGGAAAGGCAGAGGAATAATCAACTGAAATCTATGTGCTTATTCTAATAACCCATCAGGCATTTCAATTAAGAAGCTTTCCATAGCAGTTTGCATCCTACCGTGGTCAGGCACTTTTGTCAATACGAAAATCAGCTCATTCTCTGGGGTGTCCAAGTCTTGTAGGCTCACAGAAGAATTGCTTATCACCACTCCTGAGCTCAGCTGCACTCTGAGGGGTCTCAAGGTCATCCTGGGGGGCTCATCATTCTTCCTCTGATTAAAGCATGAAATATTAGGTCTCACATAGATACAGATTTATGAAAGAAAATTTAAGCTATTCACACTGCTATTACTGCAACAGCTTCCACTAACAAAATAGCATTTAATGTGTCACCATCTTTTTTTTCTTTAGAAATTTTTTGTTATAGGGTGTGCGTGCTTGCTGGAGAGACGGAGAGAGAAAAAGTAAGAAATCACCCCCTGGAGGATGACCATATTGCAATCCTTTCTACTCCATTTGCCTCATGGGATTTTAGGCATGCACACAGAAACTTGGAGTAAGCTTCAAGCCACTGGGTCCAGGATGCAAACTGTGGTTGGCCACATGGGAGTCCAGTACCTAAGACACTATGCCAGCTGCTGGTCCCAATGTGTCACCATCTTAACTTCCCAATTAAAATGGCTAGTTTGAAAAGATAGTGGGCCAGATGTGGCATGATGGCTAAGGCTATTGGATCCCACATCGCTGACTGTGCTCTTGGAGTTCCAGAACAGGTGACTTGAGAAACATGCCAGGTGCATGTGTAAGCATGCCAAAAATCCTAAGGGAGGGGGAGAGATGGAGAAGGATTGCAGCATGACCATTCCTCAAGAAGTATCCTTTCTCATTTTCTCTGTTTCTCTATCTCTTCCTAAAAAAGGCTCTTGGGAAAAAAATTAAAAACAAACAAAAAAAGTGACTAGAGAGCAAGCCACATGCACAAAATGTCCTCTTGCAAAGAAGGTGATGGACATCCTACAAAAATTTTCTCATGTATCTTTTAGAGGGACAATGAGCATATTTTCTATACCAAAAATAAAGATATGTTTTGAGAAGCATGAGGGGGTCTTAAAAAATACATGGAAGCTGTGGATTATGAAAGAAAAACAAAAACAATAAAACTAGGGATGGATTTAAAAACTTTCATGCACCAAAATGAATCGGTACCATAATTCCATTTTTCCACAAACTTGTTGAAGACCCACGTACAAGTATATTTTGGGGGATAGAAAAGCACACCATTTGAACTCTGAATGGTTTTAGAAAACACTAAACATATCGCAGAACCTGCAGAAGGCCACCAGCATTTGAAAACATGGGTTTCTAAAGCTGTCCCTGTTCTTATGTCCCTTAAGAGGGTTCCATACATTTATTTTCTCAAAATATATGGTATTCCATTCTGAGATTTATCTTTTATTCCTTTTTCTCTCTCTCCCTGGGCTGATAGAGTAAGTTTGTGTAGTTGCTCAAATGAGAATGAATACAGCATCAATGGGTACATTTCTTTGATGTTATAATTTTAAAAAAATGTATTAAAATATAAGAAAAGGCAAGTATGCATGTAGACCAATGATTTCAGAGAAAAATCGTCATGTTAGTTTTCAGCTAACTGTGGGACAGTCAAGGTTTCTCTGACTCTCACAAATTGTTTTCACACAGGATATATAAATTTTACTCTAAAATGGAAATTCAGATTTTTCCAACTCAGACCTTCCTCAAATGCCAAACTTAATTCTACAAGTTTTCTGAAGGTTGGGGTTATATTTTAAAATCAACCTTTAAAACTGAAGGTCAAATCCAATCTTCTTTGCTTTTGGGTCCATATAAAGAAAACTATCTACCGGTAGAACTGTGATGTTAAAGGCTCGACTTTTCCAAGTCTTTACCTCGATGGTGATGTTTATGCTGTGAATTTCTGAACGGCTGGTGCCATCACTCACATAGAAACTAAAAATGTCATGGGTCGGCTCAACACTTTCATGAACACTCTGAAAGTAATAAATGTAGTTTTCCAGGACGTCTTGAATAGGGAATGACGCCTCTAGGTCACTGGTAGCTCCAGGGCCAAAGCGATCACCTGCAACATCAAGAAGATGGTTATCTACACCCACCCAT